GGTTAGTACCTTATTACCTTTTAATAAGTTCTTTGGGTGATATATCTGCAGTCTCGCCATCACCGTTGCTGTCGCTGCTGCTATCGGCAGTGCGAGAGCCGCCATTTCGTTCGGGCTTCTTGCTTTTGCTTTTGCTCTTGTGCTTGGATTTCTTGTGTTTCTTTTTCTGCAAAAAAAAGAAGTTCGATTCTGATATTTATTATGTGCTTCTTTGTATCTTGCAATGAGAAACCCAACAAAATAAGAAGAGACCCTCAAGGAGAGCAGCAGAGTTGCCCCTTTACTCTGTGAATAAGAAGGAATAATGATTATTTCCTAGATAAAAGGGTTGAGAAAATAAGTAATACTAAGACTGTCTTACGAAGATCCACCCAAAAAAGAATTCCTGTATCATTTTTAGTGGGTTTTACTTGTACTCATGCTTTTGTAGTATTTTTGTTGATAGAAGAATTGATACAGGAACGATAAAATAAATGAATTGTACTGTATATGTTTTTATAATACATTGACTTAAGAGAGCCTAGAGCGGGCATGGAACAACTTCGGCCCTGTCAGAAATATTAAAAATTAACTAGGTATTTGTAATTACAAAAATGTGAGTGAAACAACGAAAAAGTTAAATGGATGCAATGACTCAGGAAAAGCTGCAGTTCTGTATAATCAGGTGTGCCTGTAGCTTAGTTCGCTCTCAGTCTGCGAGAAGCTTCAGTGTGAGAAGGCCTCAGTGTTAGTTCGCCTTCAGTCTGTGAGAGGTCTCTGTGGGAGAAGAGCCTCAATGTGTTACTAGGCCTCAGTATGATTAGGCCTCAGTGTTAGTTCCTGTGAGAGAGCCGTCAGTCTGAGGGAGCCCTCAGTGTTAGCAGCCCTCAGTCTGTGAGAGGTCTCTGTGGAAGAAGGGCCTCAGTGTGTTTGCCTCAATTTGAGAGAGCCATTAATCTGAGGGAGACCTCAGTGTTAGCAGCCCTCAGTCTGTGAGAGTTCTCTGTGGAAGAAGGGCCTCAGTGCATTTGCCTCTATTTGAGCGAGCTGTCAGTCTGAGGGACCCCTCAGTGTTAGAAGCCCTCAGTCTGTGAGAGGTCTCTGTGGAAGAAGGGCCTCAGTAGGCTTCAGTAAGAGTAGGCCTCAGTATTAATTCACCTCAGAATACAAGCGGTGTCAGTATGAGAGAACCCTCAGTGTGAGAGGCCTCAGTGTGAGTTGGCCTGGTGTGTGAGAAGGCCATCATGTGTGAAAGCTGCTGTGTATACAAAAAGCTATTGTGTGAAGCTTCTATGTAACTTCAGTGTGAGAAGAGGCTCTGTGAGAGCGAAGCTGTTTACCAGCATGAGAAAGAAACCCATCGTGGAAGCAAAGAAGGAAGTGTAAAGGACTTTATTTGTGTTAAGGAAACCTTGTTCTTATAAATAGTGCAACCATATTGTTTTCCTATAAAGAAAAGTCCCCTATGGAAGGGGTAACATTGGTCTGTGTGTTTTTGTTCTTTTTGTCACTTTGGGTTACTGGTGTTGGGTCACGCTCCTGCTGATAAATTACTCTGTTGTACATTTATGGGGAGGGTCTTTTGTAAATAAGCCCATTCGCCCAACAAGCCCTTCAGGTGTTTTGGACTCCAACTCCTACAATTTGTTACAGCCAAAGCAGGCATAGGCCAACTTCAGAATTGTGGGAGTTGGAGTCCAAAACACCTGGAGGGCTGAAGTTGGCCCATGCCTGCTCTACCTCCTCCAGTGTCATCTATTTACCTGGAAGAGGATGAATGATTTCATATTCCATTTATTACAACAAATCACCTTTTCTTTCTTGGGTTTGTGTTCTCTTTTGGACTTGTGTTTTTCTCTGCTCTTCTTAGGCTTCTCTCTCTTAGAGGCTTCAGGGGAACTTGCAAGCTGTATTTCCGCAGGCTTCGAATGAGTGCCTAAAAGCAGCAGAACAATGAGAATGGGTAAAAAATAAATGAATCCAAAGCTACTCAAAGGGTGCCTGGTGATCGTTTTTTACATTTCTGATTCTCTAAACTAGAAAATCTGCAATACTCTATACAAATTCTTGTGCTTTTACCTCCACAGAGATATTAAATTCCTTGCACACATCCCTATAAAATACAAACTTAAATAGATACATAAATGCAAAAATATACATAGTTCTCCACAGAATTTGCATATGCTGAAACATATTTACCAGAGTGAATAACAGGAGGCAATTTTGGTCCAAATTCTTCTCCTTGATCAATGGCTTCCTTCAAGGGCAGATTTACAACCACAGAAGGTTCTGGTGTGGCGGCTCTATTTGCTTTAACACCTGATGGGCGATAAGAAGAAAGTGTTTGCACATATGTTGTCGAAGACTTTCAGGGCTGGAATCAATCGGTTGCTGTGAGTTTTCCAGTGTAACAATCAGGGCCATCTAACACCTCCTAACAAAGGACTCCCCCAGGCAGGAAGCAGCCAGACTTTGAAGCCGCAAGGCCATTCAATGCTAATCAAGGTGGCCAATTGCAACATTCACGCATGCCTCAAACAGACAATATTATCTTTCCCACCCTGGACATTATTCCACAGTCATCAGTTGGGGGCCTCTCTCCCCAGCACCGCTACTCTGGGCCAGCGTGAAGAGAGAGGGAGCCAGGGGACAGTTCCATGTTGTCTCCTGCATATGACATCAGTTGGGGACCCCTCCCTGCAGCACTAACTGCTGCTCTGGGCCAGAGTAAAGAGAGGGGGGCAGGGAACAGTTCCATCTTGTCTCCTGCCTATGTCATCAGCTGGGGACCCCTCCCCCTCCAGCACCAACTGCTGCTCTGGGCCAGAGTGAAGTGAGAGGGGGGGACAGCCACCTTGTCTCCTGTGCTATTCTAATAATATAATATAATATAATGTAATATAACATATTGTATATACATATAATATTCATAATATTATAATGTAATGCAATATAATACTAATAATAATATGATATTATAATTATATATTTATATTACATGTAATATTACTAATAATATTACAATATAATTATATAGTACAATATAGTAATATTTAATACTGATATTGTACTATGCTAATAATATAATATATTGTATGTGTGTGTGTGTGTGTGTGTGTGTGTGTGTGTGTATATATATATATATATATATCTTGTAAGCCACTCTGAGTCCCCTTCGGGGTGAGAAGGGCGGCACAGAAATGTCGTAAATAAAAAATAAATAAAAACTCCACTTGCCTAGTTTCCAACAGACCTCACAACCTTCAAAGATGCCTGCCATAGATGCAGGCGAAACGTCAGGAGATAATGTTTCCAGGCTATACAGCCTGGAAAACTCACAGCAACCCTGTTTGCTCATGGTTCATCAATGTCGGCCAAAACAAAGTGTTGCTCATTATTACCTTGAACATCAGGCAAAGGAGAAGAATGCTTTGTACTTTCAGAAACGGATTCTGCCTCTGCCGCTGCTGCTTGCACTTCACCATCACTCTCTTCTTCTTCTTCTTCTGAAGATGATTTTTCATCTGAGGAGCTGGCAAAGATGGCTTTAAACAGATCCATGGACGGTCTTGTTTCTTCTTCTTCTTCTGCTACTTCTTCATTCCTGCTCGTACTTTCACTTACTATCTGAAAACAAGAAGGAAGTATAAAGAACTTTATTTGTGTTATGGAAACCTTGTTTTTGTAAATAGTGCAACCATATTATTTTACTACAACGAAAAGCTTCCTATGGAAGAGTTAACATTGATCTGTGTATTTTGGTTTATTTGATCACTTTTGGCTACTGGTGCTGGGTCACGCTGCTGCTAAGTTACTCTGGAGGAGGGTATTTTGTAAATAAGCCCACTCCCCCAACAAGATGGTCATCCACCCTCTGCTTAAATACCTCCAGAGGCAACAGGTCACAATTGCAACAAGGTATGGAGGTCTATCAGTTCCATCATCAATATTCTATAACCAGAAAATAAAGTGGAAAAATCAAGTAGATTAAAGAATGCACATTGAAAACATGGAGTCATTTATACCTCGTTGGCAACAGGTTCTTCTGTCTTTTTTTGGTCCATTTTTTCAACTGGCGGCTGCTCTTCCTGGACATCGACCTTTGACCTGGCTAAACTGATGAACTCACCAATAGCATCTTTCTTCTTCTTTTCTTTATCGGACACATCCCATCTTGATGGCTTCTTTGGTTCTTAAAGAGATAAATATCCCTTTCAGGGTTATATATTTAAGATCTTTGGTCTTGGTCATATTGTTCCTTTATTATTTTTTTGCTCATACTAGTTGTACCTGCCACACATTGCTGTGGCCAACCTTCCCTCCTTCTTTCTCTCCTTCTTTCTCCTCTCCTTCCTTCCTCCCTCTTTCCTTTTTCCCCTTCCCTTTTCTTCCTCCTTCTTCCTTCTCTAACTCTTTCCTTCCTTCCTTTGCTCTTGCTTCCATCTCCTTCCTTTCCTTTCCCCCCTTCCTTCTTTCCTTTTCTTCTTTCTCCTTCTCTCTACCTCTTTCCTTTCCCTTTTTCTTTTCCTTCTTCTTTCTCTCCTTTCTTCCTTACCTCTTTCCTTCCTTCCTTTTCTTCATGCTCTTTCTTTCTTTCTTCTTTCTTTCTCCTTCTTCCTTCCTCTTCTTCTTTTTCTGTATCGTCATTTAGCTTTTTTGGTTTTTTAAGTCCTTTCTGTTGGTTTTTTTTTGGGGGGGGTGTTATGAGTGATGGTCACTCGTTGGTCTGTTAGGGGTATAGTGTCCAAATTATGTCAAACCATATAGAGGTTTTTGAGTTATGTTAATCCCACAAACAAACATTACATTTTTATTTATATAGATTTGTAAAAAAATGCATTGGATAATAGTTTTACAATGCAATGGCCAGGTGCGAAACAGACAAAAATGTACAGATCCGCCACCCAACACACTCCATCTGCCTATTTCATTTTCCCTTCTTTTTTCTTACCATTCAGCTTACTATTTTCATATAATGAATACTTAAGTCCTTTGACTCATATACCCACAACAAGAAGTAAATAGGCCACTTACTCTCTGGGATATTATCCCGTTGCGCTCCTCCTACTTCTTTGGCCTGGCTCAGTGTGACTGATGTAGACTCCGATACTGTCAAGAAATTGAATACGGAATACTTGTCACGCTTCACTTTGGGTAATCCAACAATACACGAGCTGGAAAACAAAAATGTTGGGGTTTGCAAAATTGCAGAAGTGTGCAATTTTAGATGTTTTTTTTTCAAAGTTTTGTATTACAATGCTGTGGGTTTTCAAAAGCCGGTTGCGTATAATCTGTGCCTTTGAAATGAATCTATAAGCAACGACAACTTCTGTGTTATAGATCTCATGGTCTGTTCTTTAATCCTGATGCTCTCAACTTACTCTGAATAGGGATCAGGAACATTAAACCTTTTGCACAGCAATTTGTCCGGGTGCCATTCAAACCTTTCTCTTGTGAGCTTGCCAAACATCTTCATCTTTGCAGCTGCCTTTTTGTCATCAATATCAGCCTAAAATTAACATACAGCGATTAATAGCAACAAAAAATACATATAAATTACAGCAGACATGGTCAAACTTGGGACCTCCTACAGGCTTTTTGGACTTCAACTCCCACAATTCCTAACAGTTGGATTTGTGGAAATTGGGAGTCCAAAACACCCGCAGGAGGGCCCAAATTTGACCATGCCCAAGTTACAGTAGTTATCCTCTGACTCTTATGTTAATCGTGTCAATTGAGGACAGCATCTATATAAATAAAAATGTAATGTTCGTTTGTGGGATTAACATAACTCAAAAACCACTGGATGAATTGACACCAAATTTGGACACAAGACACCTATCAGGCCAACAAGTTACCATCACTCATAAAAACACTGAAAAACATAGCAGAAAAACACAAGACACCTAACAGTCCAACAAGTGTCCATCACCCCTAAACACGCACACACACACAAAACCTCAGCAGATCAGACTCAAAAACCCAAAAAATACACCACATATGCATATACACATATCCTCATATACATATACTCATGCACACATTCATACACACACGTGTGTATATATATATATATATATATATGCACAAACACACACATATATACACATATACACACATATATACATATACACATGCTCACATACATATATACATATACACATGCACACACATACATACACACAAATACACAAATATATACACCCATATATATGTGTGTATGTGTATAGATATATATACACACACACACAAACAAACACACATATATACACAAATATATACAAACACAAACACATACATACACACAAAACACATATACACAGACTGGACCACAGCAACGCGTGGCTGGGGACGGCTAGTCTTATAAATAAAAATGTATTGTTTATTTGTGGGATTAACCTAACTCAAAAACCACTGGACGAAATGCCACCAAATTTGGACACAAGACACCTACTAACCCAAGGAGTGATCATCACTAAAAAAAAATGATTTTGTCATTTGGGAGTTGTAGTTGCTGGGAATTATAGTTAACTACAATCAAAGAGCATTCTGAACTCCACCAATGATGGAACTGAACCAAACGTAGCACACAAGACTCCCGTGAACCAACAGAAAACACTAGAATCATTTGGTGGGCATCTTGAGTTTGGAAGTTGTAGTTCACTTACATCCAGAGAGAACTTTGGACTCAAACAATGATGGATCTGGGCCAAACTTGGCACGAATATTCCATATGCCCAAATGTGAACACAGATGGAGTTTGGGGAAAATAGAACTTGAAAATTGGGAGTTGTAGTTATGTACAATCAAAGAGCATTCTGAACCCCACCAACGACAGAAATGGGGGGGGGGGAACTTCCCACACAGAACCCCCATGACCAACAGAAAACTTAAAGGCCATCCAATCCAGTTCCCTTCACCAGGCCAAGAAAATGTAATCAAAGCCCTCCTGACAAAGAGCCACCCAGCCATAGATATAGATAGATAGATATGATCCACACACAGAGATATAGTATCATAGATTTGAAAGAAACCCCTAAAGAAGGACAATTATATGTTGCATGTTCCAGAGTAGGCAAAACAGACAATCTTCACATCAACACTGACAAAGAAACAGCAAAAAATACTGTTTACCCACAAGCATAAAGAAATTACATATATTAAAGCCAATACTTTCTCGTTACTTCATTTTCCAGATCACCAGACTGGGCCACAGCAACGCATGGCAGGGGACGGCTAGTAGTCCAGTAATAATAGTAATAAGAACACACCTCCTGATCCCGAGGAACTTCTACTTTGTCGGTGTCATCTTCATGCTTTGCAGAAGTAAACCTCGAAGACAGGACAGAGCTGGAGGATTTGTAGAGCATTGCAGCACGAGAAAACTCGTCTTGCTCCCTCCGGCGTTCCCATTCTGTCATATTAGGATCAACACAGCTTGCTAGAACTTCGACTGGAAGACAAAAGGCGGCAGAATAGGCAATTCAACAAACTAAACTATGTGAAAAAGGATTTTTTTTAAAAAAAAATCAAAGCTGTTCATAATTTTAAAGCATCGAAACAAAGGAAAAGAACACAGTAAAAACACACTGGAAAGATCTATCTTATATTTATCTTCTATACATATAATGAATGCATGTCTGTGTGTGTACAGTGTTCCCTCGATATTTCGCAGTTCGCTTTCTGCAGACTCGCTGTTTCGCGGTTAGAGTTTAGAATTATTTTTTAAAAATTTTTATACATTTTGTGGTTTTAAAATCAGAAATGCCTTGCCTGACTTACCGGGCAAGGGACATTGCGGTGGTGGGCACCCTCCTGTCGGTCATGATGCTTGCAGGGGGCTTCTTCCCAGAAGCTCCCTGCACGGTGGGAAGTTTCCTGTTGCTTGGTCAGCTGGTCATGCTGCTTGCAGGGGGCTTCTTCTTCCCAGAAGTCCCCTGCGCAGCGGGAAATTTCCCGCCTCTTGGACGGCTGGCCAACCAGCAACAGGCCCTGCCCCACCCCTGGAGTGGCCAGGGCTGGCTTCCCCATGCCCCGGCAGCCTCTGTAGGGCTGCCCTCAGCCTCCGCAGGACTCTGCGGCCTCTGCAGTAAGTCGTGCAAGGCATTCCTATTTTTAAAACCACAAAATGTATACAAACATATTTAAAAATATTAATTCTAACATTTAAAATATTATAAATAATAAAAATTACAATTTTCAGTAAATCAGATTGTAAATACTGTGTGTGTGTGTTTGTATATTTGTGTGTGTGTGTGTATGTATATATATATATATATATAGTGTCCCTACTTCATGGATTTTCACTTATCACAGGTAGTCCTGGAACATAACACCCGCAATAAGTGAGGGAACGCTGTATATGTATACACACACACACGTGAAGGTAAAGGTAAAGGTAAAGGTAAAGATCTAGGGATATTAGATCAGCCTCCTTCCTATTAACATTCCGGGAAAAAATTAAAAACTGGCTTTTTAAACAAGCCTTTGAAAACACAGTGTAATGGATGATTATGGAATCTAGGAAAGAATGAACATGGAACTTCTTGGAAAATGAGCTAATAGGAAGTTACTGTTTTTTAATGCTTTTAATGCTTTTACATGGTTTTAATAATGTGTGTTAATTCTTTTTTAATTTTGTTTTAATTTTTTATGTTCATTGTAGCATCGACTCGTGCCAGTGTAAGCCGCCTTGAGTCGCCCTCGGGCTGAGAAAGGTGGCATAGAAATGCAGTAAATAAATAAATAAAGGCTTCCCCCTGGCATTAAGTCTAGTCGTGTGTGACTCCTGGGGGGTGGTGCTCATCTCCACTTCTAAGCCGAAGAGCTGGCGTTGTCCATAGATATGTCCAAGGTCATGTAGCAAATGTATCTACCTACATATGTATGCTTTTCAAGATGGCTCCCACATCCAGAGAGCCCTACGACTCCCATCAATGATGGATCTGGACCAAATTTGGCACATAGACCCTTCATGACCAACTTCAACTACTGGTTTGGTTTGGGGGGGCAGTGACAAGGGGATGATGGGAGTTGTAGTTTATCCACATCCTTATGCATTTCTAATGGGATCATTAATAAAATCCAAAAACAAACAATGATTATTTCTAATGTTTATCCTTACAAAATACCTCACTCAGGCATCGCGGCATACCTAAGCTAGTTCATAATGAATGTCAAATATTTTAGAGCATTTTTCGTCCAATTGTCAGTTCTTTTTAATTTTTGACATTTTCTTCTTTTTACCATCAAGAGCACTAAGCTTTGATCAAGGCATTAAAACCATCTTATCACAAGGAACAAGAGTTGTGTGTGTTTTGACAATTACCTTTTGGATCATGTTTGAGACTTGCTCTGTAATTTTCATATCTCTTTTGTTTTTCTGGATCTTTTGCAAATGGTCTGAAGTCACTAGAACCTGCTGAAGTTAACTGCTGCCACTTTGGTGGAGCATCATGCAAAGCCGAGGTTTGGAATCTGTTTTGCAGGCACTGCTGGGGCAGAGATGGAGTCTTCGCTTGAATCTCTGCCACTTGTTTTGCTTCCAGGATCCTCTCTTTGTCTTTATCTGACAAATACTCAAGAACAGAAGTTGCTGGACCTAAACAATTTTTAAAAACAGTGTAAAAAGCAACTGTAAACTGTTTGAAGGTAAAATCAAGATGCTACAGAAATGATGGAATGTAATTTTAAATTTAAACATTATGTTTTCATAAATGTCCCTCAGAACTCATTGATGGTTACAACAAATGTTCTTAGTTTCATAATAGATATATATTAATGATAATTTGGTAAGCATGGCTTTGGTTATTGAAAACTCTACCTAGAATATGAGCTCTGCCTCAAAGCCACAAATAAATTGTCAGAAATATTAAAAAATAACTAGGTATTTTTAATTGCAAACATGTGGGTTAAATGGATACAAGGACTCAGCAAAAACTGTAGTTCAATATAAGTAGGTGTGCCTATAGCTTAGTACGCCTCAGTGTTAGTTACCCTCAGACTGAGAGAGGCCTCAGTGTGAGAGGCCTCAGAATGAAAAGACTCCAATGTTAGTAGGCCTCAGTGTGAAATAGGCCTCAGAGTTAGAAGGCCTGGTGTGAGAAGGCTTCGGTGAAAGAAGCCCCAAGTTGAAGGCCTCATAAAT